TGCACTATTTAGGCATGGGATGCTGCTGCAACCCGATGATCCTAGTATGCTGGTAGATCCACAAAGTCATTCGGAAGTATTCTTATCAAACAAGTGCAACAAACTGAACGGCTCCAAGCGACGGACTGATCCGGACCAAGACCGCAAGTGATACTCGATCGAGACAGTTGAGAGCACATATCGATAGATAGATTGAAGATGATTGAAGGATTGATAGCTGGAGGGATTGATGGATCGATCGAAAGTGATCGATAGATACCGATGGATAGTATATAGTGACGGACAATCACTTAGAACGTATTTTGGAAAAAAAAATCTGAATATTACTGCTTTTTTTACGTTCTAAGCCTTGCACTTAGAATGTCGAAAACCATACACTTAGAAGGTCCAAATATCAAGATTCATCACTTAGAACGTACCGGGGATTTAACACTTAGAACGTGTCTAGGTCACTGATGATAGTGGAAAGGCTTGTGAAATCATGTTGCCGCACTCAGCGAAGCCACTCAGGGACCAAATAGACATGTATTGGTGACGCACTTCAAGAAGCTATGTGTATATATATATATATACGTGTTGGTTTACGTTCTAAGTGATAAATGGGCCTAAGTGATATTTTGACGTTCTAAGTGATGAATTTTCCCTACGTTCTAAGTGATGAAATTTTGCTACGTTCTAAGTACGTTTTTTTTTTTAAAAAATTTTACGTTCTAAGTGATTGTCCGTCACTATAGACATGTATAGACAATGATAGAGATAGTAGATGTACTGTATGTATCGACCGACAGAAAGGTTGATAATTCTAGGCAAACATCATGATTCCATAGCTATCCCCAAGAGGCATTGGGCATGGATAAATTTAGGACCACAACGACTGTATCAATAGAAAATCACCTGAGTGACTCCGCTGCCGCCCCTTTTCAGTGCATGGTTCAAGAATGGTTTCATCAAGTATAGCACCCCGATGAAACCAATACTTACCTTCCAAGAAATGCTTCAAGATACCACTCACATATATGCAGGCTTAACCTGACCAAGCGTGATGTTCAACAAGGACAGTACTCGAAGAGTCGAAGAAACCTCAAATTGACTTTCCAGAACGCTCTCAAGCTGGGAACGGTGCTGATGGAGACCAAGGCGCTTCCGGCGTTGCAAAACTTTCAAACTGTGTCTCTTTCTTAAACAATTATAGATACACAGTTGCAATATATTGCAAGTACTCTAGTTGCATATATGAGATATTATGAGATGCATTACGTACATTTACCTGCATCAATTATGCCACAGGCCCGCCATGTGCCTCCCTGTATTCTCGTTGCAGGCGTCGATGCATGCATGGAGCAAACGTGGCAGCCCCAAGTGAGGGCTTTGAGCGCTGGGATGGTTTGGAATTGGTACTGGTAGTATGTTCTATATCCTGTGCTGGGTCAGATGCTGGCTGATGGACCAGAAAATTCAAGGATCCTGCCCTTCACGATTGTGAAATAGGAAGATATGAAGCAGTTGCCGTGGACAGAATGATATCTTACCATCAATATCGACAAAAACGACAGCGAGGAGAACGACAGTGGAAACAACAGCATCAGCAACAGCATCAGCAACAAAAGGAAAAAAAACAAATGCGAGAACAAGAGCAGCAAGAACGATATCAAAATGATGCACAACAAGAGCAGAACAGCTCCAAGAAGAACAGCAACGCAGTAGTGAGGGCAAGGAAAGCCACAACAACTTACAATCTCTCAAGTCAGGCTTGGCCAGCATTTACAGGCCAGAACCTCCCTTTCTCTACCACCTGTAAATTCATGAATAAATCTTTTGGCAAGGCATTAACCTCCAGAAATGGCTTGTATGAAATATGCACTGGAATCATCACAAATCCAAAGTTTCAATCCAAAGATATTCAACAGTTCAACAGTTCAACATTCATGAGCCAATGATGGTCTTTTCCTTTGAACGACGTCGACGTCGATCCCGAGGCCCAGGATGCTGTCGAGAACGACCGCTCCGCTTCTCCATGGGTCCAGGGGCCCCAGGGCTCGCAGATCCGGAAGGAATTTTTGGAGCTGAAACCCATCGAGATATCACAGATATCCATCATGATTCATCTAATAACACTTACTGTGGGGTTGGTTACAAATCAACTGACTAACTGTTTAAAAGTTTAAAACTACTCATAGATTGTTGAGGGAAATTTTGCGGATTTGGAACTCTCAAAGACGTTCAATGAAATGGGGTACCATAGTGCTCGGGTTCGTTCTGCTCATGAGCCAAGGCGGGTGCCAGAAGGAGCCATGGTCGCAACTGTAGGCGGGCGAGTTTTGCAGATCTTGATCCGGCTCATCATGGGACCGGCTACCATGGAGTGCACTAAACTTGCAGCAAAGGTATCCCCGGTATCATTTCTTTGGACTTCATCAACATGTGTCAAGTGCATTTTGCTGGTTCTCCCTTTGGTATCTCTCAAATAGGAACGAGAGATGTCGAGAATGAGACAACTTGGATATGTTTGTATAGATATTGATGTGAGATTAGCAGATATCAACTGATATCAATAGATATCACAGCACTTGATGCAATGTGCATCTCACACCTTCTCCAGGCGGCCATGAATTTGCGCTTCCATCTACTGGGGTTACAGCCTAAGGATAGGAACATGTTGGGCCACCCTTAGATTTCAACACGTTTGTTCATGGGGATACCCCAAAGCAGCAATTTTCAGAGGCAAAGTGATGATCAACAATGAGATTTTGATGTACAGTCCATATTTTCACACACGCCCATATAAACAGACTATTTCTTGCATTGATGGAGTCTTAGCAACGGTCCACCATTTTCCTAAACCAAGAGGATAGGCTAGGCTAAATGGGTCCTGTGGATGAACACCGCCTCATGTCTTAGAAATTGACGGCATATGAATGGACAGCACACAACCCCCTTGTGATCAAGTCAACTATTTGCCATCTACAAGTAGGTCATCTTTGTTTGGAGAAACTACATCGGACATGTCGCGGAGTATGTTGGACATCTGGACCGAGTTCATCAAAGTCCACTGGTTGGGTAGCGCTCATGATAACAAAGTTCCCACAATTCAGCAAAGCTTCTGTGAATTCTCTGACCTTGTCAGGAACAGTCAACAGAAAACAAATATGGCAAAGCTAAAAACAAAAGTTTTTTTTTTAAATTGAGATTTGCAGTGATAAATATGGTGTAATTACACATTCTTTGGTATTTGCATACATATACATAATATACATGTGTACACATGTTAGGGAGTGGGCCATCTAGTGAGGCTTCCATGGCCCTGGCTGTAGTTTGATGGTACTGAGTCTACCCCTCGGCGGAACTCATCACCTACCACCACTGTGCAGTGGCATTGGGATGCAGGTGCCCTGGCGGATCCCGGCGGGACTAGCAGGATGACCATGGATGACCCATGGGCCTGGCATTGTCGACAGGTACCCCTGGCACAAGCACTCCAATGAGAGCGGCGGCCACGAATGGTGGCTACCAGGACCTTCATGGACTTGCAGTTCTTCTGCTGGGCTGTGTGACAGATGAAGAGTATTAATATTAGAGACCTTATTCCCCAGTGGTTTTCAATATAAAGACACATACAAACCCATGATGTCAACCAAGTTTGCTTCTGATCTGCCCAACAGAGCTGCAATCGTAGACCAATTTGCATCCTCCCGAGCTGGTTCGAATTCCAGGTGGTTGTCACCCTGGAAAACTCTCAGATGGGTCAGAATTACTTAGTGCCAATACGAATGGACGCACGATGACGCATGACTCCACCAATTGTCGGAGGATTAAACATGATTAAACCATCTGTTTGGGGGTCAACTAATTTTGATCCATAGCCATATGCTCATTCTCATCATTTCTCATCCATTTCTGGTGGTCAGGATCAGTCTGGCCTATCGGGGCTTCCCCCAGAGGCTCGGTTGGTCATGGGTCGAAGTGAGCAGCGCTTCCTGGAGAGGTGATTGGAGGCTTTGGTATTCAGGGTACATATGGAATCATATGGATATATATATATTTATATATATATACAATTACAATCAATTACATACACATATACATACTACTTATATCTAGTTATATCTACTTATATGTTATTAGTCAACTACAACAAACACTCCGTTCCTGCGGATCTCCCGCGGGTGAACAAAAGTGGCGAGTTTTCAGGTGCGGCTGCATCGATCTGCCAGTGCTGGGACGGTCTGATCCACAGAGGGATGGAAAGGGAGATGAGTTGACGGGTTTGCAATGGTTTGCATCCCATGTAATTACTAATTACAGATATTACAGGTTGATGACAATAATGGAGAATGAGAGAGCCTCAAATTCTATGCGGCTTGTTCTCAAGCCTAATAATCAGATTTTTGCCCGGTCGAACTTGACTCATCAAGCCGCAAAATCGCGGGTTCCAAAGTGGCAGCTTTATGCCATGTCAGTCTGTTCGGGTTAGGCTTCATCGACCTGGCCATGTCGCCATTTGTTGCAGCTCAGGGATGCTGAGGGTGACTTGAGATTTGGAAACATTCCCATGGCATCTGGATGTATGTTTTTGTTGAGAGTATTTTTTTTGATTCTCAGTTGGTTCTCATCTTTCCAGCGTCAGGAACTAGCCTTCTTGGCTCGTAGAAGATTTGAGGAACGAGAGCGTCACATCATGCAGAAGTTGTACTGCAGAGACTTAACAAAGGACCTTTATGAAGTCCAAATGATAAGGTAAAGCTTGGTAGAGCCAAGGATAGGTTTCAATTGGGTATGGTTGAGAATGATCCGCTATTGGCAAAAGTACGTAAAAGTTGGGTACGGTTTACCATAGGCTTCATCACAGTGTCCTGTTTCCTGGTTCCTGGGGTTGCTGGATGCGACGCCTCTCCTTCCGTAATTCTGTAGCAATTATCATGAGACAACATGATCAGATAATGATCAGATAATGTAGAACGAGGTGAGGACCAACTCTAAAGCATCCTTCAGCCGGCTGTGTCTGACCTTTAAGCGCGCCATGTTGCGGACACGTGGTTGATCGAAGATGACAGCTCCGAGATGCCCGCAAAGACCTTTGGATTTGAAAGGCTTGGGAACGATGCAGAATAGGGACCGACCTTAGGGGCAGCATTAACGAGCCGTCCACAACACGTCCAAAGGCTTCATTTATGCAACGTACCTCTAGCTTAACTGCTTAGCATTATATTTGTACTCGTACTAACATGCGTCCCAGATCATCCAGATCTTGTTCGGGTAATTGGCATGTACGAATTTCGATCGCTGGATTAAAAGTGACCCACCATGCCATGTCGCCACTTAGGACAGAGCAAAGTTGCTGGGCAGAGCTCTTGCTACCTGACTCACATGGTTCCGGATGGAGCATGTTGTGAAGCCTGTGAAGTCGCAACGGTCAGGGATGTGGACATTTTTTTCTTGACATGCCGCATAGCACAAATCTTTGTTTGACATGAGCCGGGTGGTACCTTTCAGGCCGCTTTTCCGGCCGCTTTTCCGGCAAGTGCCAAGGATTGGTGGTGGGTTATAGCACCCCATGAAGGATATCCTCGATCTGTTCAGCATTTTTGAGTTGTGATACTTGTACTGTGGTCAGCCCATTTTGTATGAGGTATGAAATCCATTCACAGTTTGTCGGATTATGTCGGATATCCCTATGTCATGAGGTACGGCAAAGCGTGCTGCTTGTGGAACTGCATCTTCGCTCCATGCGTATTGAGCTTTTGGAGCTGCGCCATCTACTGCTGTGGATGTCTCAGAATCTTGGCCGGGTCCATGGTTGCGGATTGATTATGCAAGAGATGGCCGGGGCTGAGCTTCTACTCCTAACTTTGGGCTGAACTGAATAAATGAGAAGTGTAATTTTGTAAAGACCGCTGCTGAAGGTCACAAGATGTGTTCAGTTTGCCTTGAAGACATGTGGCAGAGTGGCAGAGTGGCAGAGTGGCAGAGTGGCAGAGTGGCAGAGTGGCAGAGTGGCAGAGTGGCAGAGTGGCAGAGACATTTGTCCTTGTCTCAAAGCTGGGTTCCCCAGCAGGGCATGCACGCGACGAAAAAGTTCTTTGTGCCAAACCCAAGAGATTTTTAGGAACCATCAGCCCAGACATTAAGATCCTCAGAAATGGTTCCTTCCAGTGGTACACCCAGGGGTTGGGGATGCCTTCTGACTCACCAGTCCTTTCCCAGGAATCTACGCAACTCGTAATGCGTACCTCGGAGTCATATCGGAGCCACATGAGAGTCGCAATGCCAAAGCATGCCTGCAATGCTTGAGCCAACTTCTATGTTGGAGCCCATAATTCTTCAAAATTAATGTTTGCTGCAACACCAAAAAGGGCCGAATTTCGGTCCATTGGTTGCGCAATTTCGAGCCATTCTCCTAGTGAAGAATTGGAGGCAGCCCCTGCAGGCAGTCGACCCTCTTCAAGGATGCCGACTTCCCTGCCAATGCAGTATCATTGGGTGATCTTCAAGAGGCCTGGTGCGGTGGGACCCAGCCATACCCAGTGGTACCCACTGGTAACTTATGGGACTACAGACTTTGAAACAATGACAATTTTCCATGACTTTTCTGCATGAACTTTGCCACGCTCCTAAGCAATTGACTGTGCCCAATGCTCTTTTCCGCTGACCCCCTGTCTTTTTTGACAACAACCATGTTCAAAAATGTTCAAAATATGTTTTGCAACAGTGAGGTCAATGTCTGTGCTTTCTACCTGAGAGAAGCAAGAAAGGAAGGGAAACCGGCAGAGATATACGATGGATCAATCGATCTAACCCCCTGGGATTTGGCTGCAGCTTGAGGATGTAATTTGGTTGCGTGCCACGAAGTATGCGAGGACAAAGCCACCCAGCCCGCATGCAGCTTTCATGACATTTGAATCGTTTTGACTGATGTTGAATCAGACAGATTTAAACAGTCTTGCAGCCATCAAACTTTTTTTTTGCATCATGACACGACAAGTGGTGACGAGATGGTGACGAGATGTTGATCGCGGTCCTAAGGAGCCTACAACTTGTGGACGAGACCATAAACATCCACAGACTCTGTCAAGGCAGCGTTGGAGTTCCGGAGCAACAAAGAAGTGGGATGCTATGGATATAACAATGATATATATATATTACATATTTAAAATACTATGGCATACCATGGCCATTAGGCCGAAATATACCGAAGTGCTGACATGTTCCTGCAAAAAGATTGGATGGTTGATTGCTCATGAGGTTCCGCAGGCCATTCTTCAGCCAAGGGTCATGTGTTGCAGCGTTGCAAGCATGTTTGAAAACATTTCCAAGAATTAACTAAAGTCAACAGAGGTATTCAAAGGATATGTGTTTGGTTTGTGTTGACCCTATCCCTGGGGGTTCTTCCTGGCACATGAATAAACTTGACCTCAGCAACCAAGGCTCCCACCTCTGCTCAGCTAGTTTCAAAGATGTTACGATTGCACGCTGGGTGCATGATCTGCCAAAGTAATGAACACCTGATAGAAGCAAACTATAATAATTAGATCAAGTCGAAGCATGTGGGCCCACAATTTCATCATTGCACAGTCTACCTTCCGAGGCTATTGGCATTGGTATGTGTCGGCAAAATGTTGAATCCAACCACAGATTTGGTCCTGTCTAGTTTTAAACGATCCATTTTTCGACCCAAAAACATCCCCTACCCTTATCTTGAAGCTGGGTAAACCGCTTCGGAACATCTCCAGGTGCCAGTGGTGAAACGTGGCTCCTCTCAGCCATTGCTTGCATAGGAGAGCGCAGGTGCTCCGGCAGAGCAGCGTCCATCCATGGCATCCAACAAACCTCAGCATCCAGGGACTCGAGTGGAAGAGATTCGCAACAGCACTTGAGTGGTGATTTAATGGTGATTTAATGGTGATTTAATGGTGATGATTCTAGATCTTCTAGTCTTCTAGTGGAGAATGCGGAGAGATTGAGTTTCCCTAGGTGCAATATTCGATATGCCAGTCAGATTTTCAAGCAATCAATCTTCGGAACGCACAGTGTTTGTCCGTTTTCACGTTCTTTTCTCTAAAAATGATACCTATTTGTAACTGACCTGTCCGAGTCCTAGTGCAATCAGAGTCACATAGAGGTAGACAATAATCATAGTCCAATGATCATATATCATAACTAAAGTTTGCTGCGTGACAATAGGGCCATAGTCCAATGACATAGGGCCAGTGCCTCGCCGTCCGTGGCAACGCCGTCTCCAGGGCGCTGCACCACTTGTTCGAGAGCGTCGAAAGAAGTTCGCGAGGCCGATTCCGGCGGGTCACGCCGGCCCGGCCACTGGACGATCCATTGCCCTGGTGATGGTGGTGATGATATGCCGTGAAGATGCTGCTGATGTTGCTGATGTTGCTGATTCTTTTGACTTTTTTTTTCCGCCCCAGATACTTTGGGGATGATAGCGATGGGGATGATCCTGAGAATTGGTGGTCCATCCAGTTGACTTGGTGGTCCATCCAGTTGACTTGTGCCCAGGAAGAGTTTTTCCGGACTGACTGTTGGCAGAGACTGTTGTCAATGGTCATAATTCCCGAATGCATTTTATTGCCATGGATCTAGTTGATAAATTAGTACTAGTTGATTAGATGGCTGTTTGACTGCTGCTTCCCGGTGCAGGGAAGTATATTCTGAAACTTTTTGATGGTGTTCAGCAACAGTGGCAGAGGACAGACAAGTGGCCAGTGGAGAGAGTAGTGCAGAATTGGGGGGTGGCCATATTGTGGGCAGTTGAATGAATACACATCCCATATTAGGTCAATTCTGATCGTGAATTGATGTCATCTGCTGAAGGGAAGTAACCTGCGGCCCTGCAGTGGATTCTGCAAGCCAACGGTGCAGACCCTTAGGGAACTTTTGAGGCTGTAGGCGCAGACAGAAAAGCAACGCATTCTTTCTGATATCCTGAAGCCGAGAGGGAATGGGGATTGAAAGAAAGGTTGAATCAACATGCACATTACCCTCTGGTAAACTAACATAGCTATTGAAAATTGCCATTTATAGTGGATTTTCCCATTAAAAATGGTGAATTTCCATAGTTATGTTAATTTACCAGAGGGTATTCAACATATTCAACTACTCTGAGATCGGATTGAGATGGAACATGATGGAACCCGAGGAGGCATGACAGGGTGTTTTGACAGGCTGTGTGCCGCAGTGGATCATGATAGAATGATTTCCACCATTTTCTACAATATACATGGGTCATTAAATGTCCCCATTGAACATCACCCAACCATTAGGTATATGGTCTATAATGGCTACTATAAGGTGATGTTCAATATTCCCAAAATGGGACAGTTACCAACCCCTGATATAAATCAGACAAGTCATACAAGTAGAATTTCAGTAGAGCATGGAACATCCTTGTCACATCCCCCAACGGGCGACAGGATCATCATTGACGCAGCTGGGCTGTCGATTCGAACAGGGAACTCACCCCACTGGCCCCATAAAGTCAAGCTGCCAAGCTATGACCACTGGTGACCACTGGTGGACATGAGGTCTTGAAGAGTGAGTGTAGATCATGGAGAGATTATATCAGTCAGTGCCAGTTTCTTCAAAGAAGCCTAGTCTGAGGCTTAGGCCGACGTTTTTTTGAGCATTCGGCCAGTGCCGACGATTTTTGTGCAAAGACCTTCATGCCCTCTCAACCAGTACCTTGGGATTGGCGGGGATTCGGCCCCCAGAACAGAGCACTAACCTGACCAGTTGCTGAGCACTTGATAAAAACCGAGTTCGGAGGGTTCCCTTGGGAAAAACCACCAGACCTTGAAGAGAGTTGAGTAGCAGACTTGCGAAACTATGATCCCTGGTTTGGAACGCTAAAAATTGGATAGATGACCATGACAACCAAATACTCTCTTTGTTTTTGATCATTGGTTCTCTGCAGGGTGGAAAATCCTGAATCATATTTGACCATCTTGGTATAGCCAGTAAATGGCAACTTGCTAGAAATATAAGACATTTGTTTCTTGCCAAAGATTGGCTGGATCTCGGAAGTGTTGGAGTGCAAGCATCAAGAAAAGCCCTTCATTGACCCAGTTGGTCGCCTTTTTTCATGATTTTGATGCTGCCATGCAATATCAAGGACAGGATCCCCTGTGACCGGGCTGCCTATGAAAACGATAAGAGCTTCCATCCCAGCTTTCTGACGAACAAGGCCTGCATTGGGGTTGTAGCAGTGGATGCCAGAAATATGGACCCGGAGAGAAGAACATCTTGGAGAGGTTTCTGTGGCAAAATGCAGGAAATTGATTCTGGTGAAGAAATTCCCAAGGGACCTTTCATCTTCCTGATCCTTCAACCTGTTGTCCCTATAGAGTGACATCGTGTTCCGATGAGGTTGAGGTGTTTTTTTCCCTGATGCTTTCATTTTTCTGAACATTGAGATATAAACAGCGTGTTTGCCATTGACTAAGCCATGCTGATCAGGTGCTGAAAGTTCCTTGCGTTGTATTTCAAGTGTGGTGAGGGTGTGATTATGGGATCAATTGGCCGGATTTTGAATGATTTTGACATGTTTTGTTCAATTTAAATTTAGGCGACTTATAAGAGCATGCAGCTTGGGCGATTTCTATGCGGTTAAGCCCACAAATAAATGGAAAGCCTCCATTTAGGAAATTGTTCAATCGACGTAGTTTTTCCGGAGGTTTGGCGGTTGTTGGAGAGTTTTCTCACCTGAAGATGTCATGCATTGTTCAGTCATTTAAGTTAAATGACCGAACAATGCATTTATAAAAGTTATATTTATTTATTTTCCTGCCTGCTATTCAACGTGGTCGAAGATCCTAATTCTGTGGTTGCAGGAGAACGACCTCTTCCTCCTCCTGATCGAAAAGGCCGCATGCGGTGATAAGAGCAGCATTTTTTGAATCTGAATTTTCCCATAACCATGATGTTTCTTGCCATAGCAAGTCCATGCAAATCCTGATTCCATGTGGAGAATGTTCCAAGATTTGGAACGTCACAAACCGTTCTTTTCGCTGTGCCCGAAAATCGTCCACCACATGGTGCATGGCCCCGAATCGTCCATGCTGAACTTTTCCCGCTCGAGTTGCTTTTCCCACCTGACTTCTCAGTCTGTTGCTGGTATAGCTCATATCTCTAGGGGGAATTAACATCCGGAACTACCAGCAAATAATAGAATATATAATTATATGTATATATATATATTACATACATAAAGTATGGGGGAAACCACAGTACTGATCGGGCTTTAATCCATAGTCATGTAAACCCATACTATAGGGCATGGTTTTATCCCTACTGCCAGGTTTTTTTAAAACAAATTCGATGCATTTTGCATGAGTATGATTTAGCATCAGGAATCTCGTTGATTGATGGAAATCCCCCTGGTGACCATATCTATATAATCAATCCCATCCCTTTAATTGGTATTAAACACACCCTTTAGAATCTATGGTTTGGATCTCCTCATTTTGGGTAGCAGACTGGGGTTATGAAAAATGGGAGCATAGGATTCCATCCATTTCCATCCGATCCATCTTTGCATGTTCTGCAGAATTTTCCACATTTCCCAATGAGGCCTTTGCCAAGTTCATGGGTGGCTACCAGCGCCTGAAAGAGGGATCAACTGCTTGGGCCCTGAGCGCCATGACTGGCGATCCAACCAGGTCGGGCATAGCCAGGGCGGCCCTTTCCCATGGACCCAAGGCGGTTCACAGTAACGATGTTGCCAATCCATCCCACCCTGGGAGGATCTTTGTCCGCAGCGAAAATGGCATGTGGACCAGGAAAGAGTTGGAGGACTGGGGGCGAAAGACATAGGGTGAGACCAGGAGTTGGTTGTTTTGTGTTGTCTCGCATGCTTCAATTGCTCAAGAAAAAACGCGAATCTCCTGAAATAATTCTGCGTGCACCGTACTCTTGACATTCGCGCTGAGTTTTTTTTTTGTGTGTGTGTGCTTGTTGCATGTCATTCAGGCTTCCACTGCCCAATTTCACAGCCATAAATGGCGATCACAGCTCGATGAAACCCTTGGTGTTGGAGACACCCCAAGGCCCAGCCCAACATTGTGGCTTTTTGCGCAGAAGCCACAGAAAATCTCTTGCTTAATCAGCCGTCAAATGATTAATCATCACTTGGTTCCATTATGTAGCAACAATCCACCACTCAAGCATGCAAGAATCCTCACCACTCATCAGGCTACATTCTGTTTATCAGGGACGCCTGTACCTAATATATCCTAGTATCATATACTCACATGATGTTCCAAACATCGACTGTCAAACTTCTGATTTTATGCCATGCTATCTGTGTGAGGATGAAGTCGATGCCGACGGTCAACGAAGCCTGTCCTTGTTTGACACAGGCAGGGCATGGCGTCCGACATTTTGCAGATCCAAAGGGTGTCAGGTATGACCCATAGGTATCCATAGGTATCCATCGAAAATCTTAGGAAATCCTGATAGATTTGGTCCAAAAATTTCCATCATTGCCTTGCTATCTTGAAGATTCGGCTGAAGATGTTCTGCACCTGGAGGAGTAGAGTTGGCTCCTGAAGTTCTGTTCGAAGTGCTGAGGAAGTATTGCATCTGGGATCGCAGATGGTGAGCATTGGGAGGATTGGAATGGATGGGACAGCTTTTGACTGCATGGGTAACCCGGTTACCCTCTGGTAATTTGACATAGCTATGGAAAATCACCATTTTTGATGGGAAAATCAACTCTAAATGGCCATTTTCAATAGCTACGTTAAATTACCAGAGGGTAGTGTCCACCAAATCCAAAGTTTCAGTCCATTTGGGTCCACCACGGCCCGGATCTCCTGGTGGCACTTGAGGTCTGCTGGAGAGCGTGCTTTGTGCTGCCGGAGCCAATCCAGCGAGTGGTCTGCATCCGAAGCACGCCTACAGCATTCTGGATGTCCGGAAGGCAGTACCGTCGATATTAGCGGAATTCCATCCTGAAGCAACCAGTTGAGGGGACAGAGCGCGTGGGATACAGGATACAGATGGATACAGTACTATAGGAATCGGAAGTGATGGGATGTGATGGGTTCCCACCTTTTCTATGATGTCTAGCAGAACGGAAAGATGTGTAGCTTGTGCGGTGATGATGAAAATATCCGCGACATTGGAAGAGTTGCATTTCCTTATCACATACCCTCTGGTTATTTGAGATAGCCATGGAAAATGACCCATAGAAATAGATGGTTTACCTATTAAAAATGGTGATTTTCAACGGCTATGTTAGTCATAACCAGATGATATTCAATGAGTTTTTTTTTCTTTTTTTTTAAAATGACGTCTTGCCCTATCAGTTCCGGCAAGGCCAGCCCTGATAATGTGTTCAAGACACTTTGACGACTAGGTTTGAAATTTAAAAAGTAGGTGAGGAAAAGTGCAACATCTACAGCTGTTACATATTTCTTACAGCAATCTATAGCAATCTTGCCTGATATTTGCCTGGATTGGCCTTACCAAAACAACAAACACCGGGTGAGTTTTGGTTGGTCCAGTGGGGTCACGGTGTCAGGTGCAGGGCGGCATCAAGCTGGGTGGCGGAGAGTGGCAGCGAGCTGTACAGATGCGCAACATTTGGCCAAGCGGCAAGGAGAAACTTTGGATTTGCATCCTGATTATTGATGACTGTATTTTTTTAGGATTAATGGTATATAGTGGGTTTATTTGAAATCCATTCTCCTGATTATTTATTTAGTGGGATTGTTTTAATTCATATCATTTAATATTCATATACATTTATATTATTATATGATGTAATATTACTTAATACCGTGTGTATTATGTGATATGATTTAATCATCCACTTCATCCTGATTATTGTAATCAAAGGCAATCAAGATATTTGACTGGTGTCAACATTGTCATTTGTCATCAGCAGAAGGGACGGCTCATATGCCTTTGAGGAGTAGGATTCAACGACGAACCTCTCCGAATAAAACTACAGTAAGAATCTTGTTGTTTGTAGCAAGATGCATGCACAATGTGTAGGGCTTTGAGTCATTCGCAGTCCTTACGAATACAGCATGGCCGCTGCCAGATCCTTTTTCTGAGATTTGAGTTTGGCTTCAGTCTTACACCCACCGCTTTCCAATGTGACAATGCGCTGACCGCAGCCGAGGAAAAGCCTGTCGCGTAAATCCTCGCAATTGCGGTCCATTGTGCCCTGGCATACCAAGGGCCATTTTTCGATGGATGCGGGTACCAAAAGCACTCCATGAGCAACAGACTCCTTGAGCGTCAGAAGTACAGACAGCAAGATTGATCACAGTCTAATATACATTATATATTATGCAATGTAGATATATTATTTATATATATATATACAGTATATAGTCTAATGATGTCTAATGTTGAGGTTCTTTTAAAGCGATGTTTTTGGCTTGTTTTGGTCTTCACGAAAGCAAAGAAACATCGCCTTTTTCTCAGGCCAGAGAGACGGTGGAATTCGATGACCACGATGATAGTATTCTGTGGATGTCCTGGATCCTCGGCTGCCGAGAATTTCCCGGATGCTGAATTCATGCTACTGGTACGTTTTTCCATTGTTTTTTTTGACATTTCAGGTGATTTCACGGCAAGTTTCATGATCACTTCAGCTTCGTGGTTCCACATCATGCGATTGTTTGATCAGAATTTATATCATTTATATTCATTTGTGACTTATTGCACCTTTTTGCAACATCAGCGGCAGCGGGCATTTGATTGTGTAATTGCTGCGGAGGCATCGCGGCCACGCAGCGGCTTTGTGGTTTCAACGTGTGGTTTCCGATGGCTCTTAAATGTCTGTTTTTTGATTTGATGTGGCTTCTAATCTAATTCTTATGTCGGAGGATCCATCTCTTAACCCCAGCACGCAACACCATCACAAAGAAGCACAACTCACCCTTACAGCCTTCCACCCTCAAACCCTGGCCACGTCTCCCACCCTAAACCTTCAACCCCTAACCCACCCCCCACCCACCCCACCCTAAACCCTAAAGGTCGCAGCGCGCACGTATCTTTCTTCACCACGCAGAAGGTTGGGACCGCACACAACAACAGAGGTATGTACGTGTCAAGCACGGATATGACCAACAACCAACAACCAACAACCAACAACAACGGCAGCAGCAGCAGCAGCAACAACAACAACAACAACAACCACAACCACAACCACAACCACAACCACAACCACAACGACGAACATGTACGTGTGTTTGATTGACGCCGAGCTGCTATGAGCAAAAAGAAGAATCCCGCGTGCTGTGATGGGAATCAGGTCATGGGAGGCGCAGGTGATAAGCTGATTGAGGCGTAAGTGACGTACGGAGGCGTAAGTGATGTGGAGGCGCATGTGATGAAATTGTGGAGGCGCAAGTGATGTCTTAGTCACCTAGGCAATAGTACCTCCCAACGTCTTGGCTTGATGTTGGGACATGGCTACTTTCGTCAAACTTTTTGTCAAGGCTTCAGTTCTGAAGTTCGTTTTGGCTCAACACAAAGTACCAATTTTCGCCTTGACTCAACGGTTCTTCTGAGGGAAGACTTCTTGTCGACCTGGCGGACCATCTCAGTTGCCTCTGGATAGCAGGTTGACCTTTGAGTTGGCCATAGTTTCCCATAGTTTCCCTTGGTGCATCTTTGTCGGAAAGTGAACAGTTGCTGATAGAAACATGGGAGTTGCAATGATTCAGCCAATGTACCCTGTCGCATGCACATGGCAAGACCTTGAATACTTTTGACTGTCCCGCGTTGGAGACGATGCCTACAAGATTAAAACGTGCTAGAACCACTGGGGTCACTACGTACAACTGTCTTCTACTGAAATGATCTACAAGTAGAACTCGAACGAAGTGTTTGGTATAGGAAGAACATGCACAATCACACACTGTTTCGCTGCTTCTCAATCAACATTTAATATATATTTAATTTGGTCCAAGTGAATTTTCTATCACCCCTTCAGTCAACTTCAGTCCATTCGTCACGCTACCGGCTACCTCTCAGGTTGATCCTCCGAGTGGCATCGGCAGCCTCCGACTGCAGGTCTCTGGAGGCTCTCCGCTGGTCTCGCGGCTGCGTAAGGTTAAAGGGTCCAAGATCACAGAGGGATGGCAAACGGCAAACGGTTGGTTTATGATGGTTAATTTATGTTGATTTTATGTTATTTTGATTTGTAGTGTGGACATATGGAAAACATTGGAAAACTACCGGGCGACCTTTTCAGACACTTTTGGACCATAGCAACGCCCTTCTGAGGCTCCAGCAGCGGCGTGTCTCGTAGGCTGCTGCAGCTTCTGGTGTGGCCTCGGCTGTCATCATCTCTACTGTCCATATCGCGTGGTGGCTGGCGAGCATCTTGGGCAAATTTCAGCCGGGCTTTGCGGTTAAGAGGCTGTTCAGTCAATGGTATGAACAGGTTTAATGTGATGCAATATAATATGTGCTTAATAGCCATTGTTGAAAGGTCCAGTTTCAGGGCCCTTTGTCCCTGAACCATAAACCATCCTAAACCTCTGAAGTCGTCGCAGGAATGGCAAGGACGTGGGCACAGCATGCTGCTGCTTTGGTGCACGTTCCACCTATGCCGTCCGCTCGTCAGAGTTGGACCCGGGAGCCTCTACAATGCCTCTCGTCATCTCTCGATGGGTTCCAAGAATGGGGGAGACATGGGCCCCAAAATGGCAATTTGAATGGGGAGAATGATGATCGACATTGATCAACCATATTCTCAACCATCAGCTTTAGGGGTAACATTTTTTCTCGATAAAACCAGAAGGACCTGCCAGATCAGGCTGGCTGGACCAAGATCCCTTGTCACATCTTGTCACATCTTGTCACTGGTTGGTGGGAAGATGACCTGGAAATCGTTTCTTTTCTTTGCTGGGCTGATATCCAAACTCACGGAGCTCTGTGTGCTAATCATTGATTCATAGCTAGGAAATTTCAGCAGCTTTCCTTTTTTTCTGAGTTCTCGCGGTCTTGGTACATCCAGTCATGCGCAGTTCTGAGGTTGGGCCTGCAGTTGGAAAAGGAATGACCGGAAGACTTCGCTGCCAATGATGCAGCCATGGGTCCAATGGGTCATTCCACCCCCATGTCCAGCCAAAGATGAAGCGATGGTCCCATAGGTATTGACTCATCCCCATGCAGTGCCGCTTTTTTTGCAGATCCTCCAGCAGCAGATGATGGGTAGATGCAGCATCTTTCAAAAGATTTCGACAGTTTTGGTTCAACGCTTCTTTCAGAAATTGCTGGAACTGTCGCCGGCTCTTGTGGTCAGATCGAAAGAAAGAGCGGAAATAGGACTGAGATATACTGAGAATCTTGCTGAGATAGTTAGGACTTCTTTGCCAACAGCAGACATGAGCCGTCAGATTCTTCAGTCTACTCTTAGGGAATGAGGCTGGGACTGCCAGATTCAAAGAGGAGATCTGGCCTCCATGGCCTCTGTTGATTTGCCAGGCGAGGTGTCTTTTTCAAACCATGATCGAATCATCGCGACTGCAGCTTGACCAGGGGGTCATCCCAGATGGATTGAGTCACGCGTCAAGTAGCAAGGTTTGGTATGTAGAAAAGAAGGGGTTTGGTCAACATACGCAGGGTTTGTTGTTGCTTCAATACAGGAGCCATAGGACACCACCATTTTTTTTTTGATAATATCTTATACAGGCTCAATACTGGTTATTGCCGAGGTAACAGATGCTGGATGTGAGTACAGGCTGCCCGATTGAATATTTACAGCACATGTGGAGATGGGTCCAAGAACAGGCTACCCCATCAGATCCTCCAGATTTCTATATCTGTAAGGTTTCTGTACATAGTCAGATTGGTTGAATAGATCGACCCCTCCCTTGAAAGTTGTCGAGATCAGCTGCTGACACCAACCTGGCTAAAGCCTCGTAGTTGTTTGGTGGGAGGAGAGAATCCCATCATTTTGCCATGTTGGCTCACTGAAATCAGTTGCCAACACCCGGAGAAACTCAGGACAAGGCTAGACAACATCCTGATAGAAAATTTTTGCTCAGTCTCTTGAGCTTGATATGTCTTTAATCTTAATCGCAGATGGCACCAAATATATCTTCGGAGCATTCCCATTTGCATGAATTTGCGGCATGCCTTCAGGGTGAGTCAACCACAACCACTCACCTTGCGGACATGACCTGCTGCGGGCCACTAGCGTTCTCTTTGCACAGCTGGCATTTTGGCTTGATAAGGCTCGTAGATTCGTTGAAGCGGCCATCAGCCATGGCGGAGCATGCAAAGCTAGGAGTGCGACTGAACAGGATGGGTTGCGAGGATGGGAGGAAAATCCTGGAAAATCCAGACACATCCGACAACAATCCAAGATATTGGAAGAAGACTTTGTGCGATTTGTGTGCATCCCAAGTGGCTCTGGATTTGTTTCATGGACTGGTGAGTTTTTTTGTTGGACAACTTGTTTTTTGTTTGAAGAGTCCAAGCAAGAGGACAAGGTGGCAAATACATCGGCCACAGCGGTGAGGATCCTAGGTTTTGACCGGTAAATTCTAAGAGATATTTATAACTCATGGCAAAACATGATAAACTGACAGTGGTTCATCAAGAACACACGCTTCTGCAGGTCTTATCAAATCTTTCTCTTAAGGAATAATGTGTCCCACTTGCAGGTCAACTCGAGGCAAGCATTCCAAGAGTAGGTATTCGTGCATGATGCCACGCCAAATAGCGTCACATTCTGAATGTGGCAACGCCGAACTCTCCACACGTTGCTATCTAGCTCTACGATGCTCTACGCATCTCTACGTATATCGAGTAGGTCTTTCTTGATGCTTGAGAATTTGTGATCCCTCGGCTGGAAGATTATTATCCAGTTTCCCCTTACACCCTGAACTGTAAAAGGCATGGGAGGTCAAGGATAAGATAGAAATCTAGATCGCAAATGAAAGAACAAACATCCTTTTAGTCTTTACAAAACCAGTCAGTGCCAGGATTTGCTGCATCGGCGTTGGCTATGTGGGTGGACCCACCATGGCAACCATTGCTTTGAAGTGCCCTCAACTGGAGGCCACTTGGGATGACATGGGATGACCGTCAGGGAGCGAAGAGGAAACAGTTGCCAGAGGATACGAATAATATCGAACAATTTTGCCATACCTTTTGGATCCTTTTGGTCTTGGTCTGCTGTCGGCAAGAAGCTGTTTGTTGGCTTTCTGTAGTTGGCAGAATTTCACTCAGATAACCCTAGCAAATTATCGACACATCCTACTAGTAGCACATGCAGCAAGCTAATATCTCAGTCTATGCATGCCAGCCTCTTCTTCCTGGAAGGTAGTGATTATGGACATGAACGAAGATCGCATCAAGCGCTGGAACAGTGACTCGAAGCTTTTCAATCCTTGACTTTTCAACATGTCTTCGCGCTTTCACTCGAAGCATGGGAAGGATGACTCCAAGTGATTTGCATGTTTGATGGATGGGAAGCACCAATCCAGTTTTCATTTTCAATTTGGGAGAGTTGATTGAGTCCAGAATGAAAGGCGCATTGGGGCTTTCTTCTTAACGGACCTGCTTCTTTGTTTGGAAAAAGTCCATCAGAAACATTATCGCGACCTGAATCAAAAAGAATACGAGGACCGTGGCCATGATGTCAAACTCTAATTTACATCAATTTACCATATATCATTTGGTTCTGTGACTGTCACACATCGTTTCACATCGAAAGTCCTTCAAAGCAAACAGTGGCTAAATCCGGGCAATAAGGCGATGAACTGCCGATCTATGAACCCGGTCTGACGGAAGTGGTGAAGGCGCTTGTGGCGGATGGAAAACAGGAAACACCATATTGGGGCATGGGGAAGGGTCATAGGACATGATTTTCCACAATGTTTTTTGGGGATGGACATTTGTAACAACACTTATTTTGATGTGAACTAGAGGGTACCAGGGCTTTGACCCATAGCCATATGATCATATGAATATACAATATATATATATATATTATATATCAATATAATACAATATATAATATAATATATAATATAATATATAATATAATATAAAATATAATATATAATATAATATATAATATAATATATAATATAATATATAATATAATATATAATATAATATATAATATAATATATAATATATGTGAAAGTACAGTAGAGCACAGTACAGAACTCAATTCACTCATGTCCATGCCGCTACGCATGGCTCAAGACTAATACCGCTCCTACACAGATGGAAAAGTGCGCGTTGCTCGCTGATCGGCTTTGGGGACATTGAGGAGGTGAAGATCAGGTTCAAGGTGGAATACAACAACAGAGTTTGGGCACTACCCATTCACAGGTTATCAGCCGTACGCTCACTCTGGGCGTACGGTGGTCCCACTTTACCTTCAACGTCTTCGACATCCCGGTCTTCCTGCCCTACTACAAGTCATTGGTCTTGAAGCAAACGGAGGCAGACTGACAACAAGAAGATGTCGCAGAAGAACCAGTCGAGCAGCAACGACACAAGCTTTTCTTTCGGAGCGAATGCTGCTCCGGCCCAGGCGATCAATGACACGCCTGGATCCCAAGAGAGCGGCGGCGGCGGCACGATGTCTTACCGTGCAGCTGGAAGTGTAGCATCAACAAGCAGCTTCACAGTGGTCAATCAAGCTGAAGTAGTTCGAGGAGGAAGTGCCAGAAGATCAACATCGGCAAGATCACCTCGCGGTGCAAAATCTCGCATTGCAGAAGACGGCGGTGGCCGAAGCCCGTCGGGCGCGGCCACGCGGGAGGATGAGGCAGGTAAATCTACCACCTCATCCAAACGCAAGCCATCGACCAGCGCTACGAGGAATGAGAGCGAGGCACGTCTTCGACGTCAACTACAACACAATACCGAGAAGCTGGAGAGGAGCGAACGGGCAAGGACTGAACTGGAAAACAGACTAAGTCTCTATCAGGATGTTCTTGCACACCGTGATCAGATGATTAACAACATGGAGATCTATTCACATCAACATCATGAAGAATATCAAGAACATGTCAACTCCGAGATGGAATTCATGAGAGTTTCCCTCATTGATGCACAACATGTACTTGAAGAGCAGACGATCGCACTGGCTGAGGCGCATCTCCTGGACGAAGGTTCAACTATGAGGATCATCGAGCTGGAGAAGCGTGGTCAACTCGCTGAAGCAGGTGCGGCACACATTGTTCGGGAAAGTATGGAGATGAGGGGAAAGTATCTCACTGAACTAGAGAACGCATCACAACTCATTCGTCAACAACATGACACATCCGAAGCTATGACTGTTCATTTTCGTCAAGATGGGCTACAACTGCGTGAAGCATGTACACAGTATGTCCAAGACAGGGAGAATGCGAGCAAGGAAGAAATGGAGCAATTGAAACTGAAACTATCAGAGAAATCACAGATGATGACTGACAACAATGAGATGATCATGGAATATGGCCAACAAGCTGTTGCAGTACGTGATGAACAGTTGGTAGAGATGCAATCGACCGTCGACGAACTAACTGCTAGTTTGTCGCACAAGGACAATCTCATTGCTATCAGGGATGACGCGAATCGTGAACACATTGTGAATGTTCGCGACATGAGGAACATGATTCAGGAAAGAGAGGAAGAGTATAACCGGAAGCACAACGAGCTCGAGGTGGAGATCAGAAGCCTCATGAGACTGAATGAGAACGAGAGTGCTACAAGAGAACGGTACACAAATCGGTTCATTGATGAGAAGAACGAGTTCCGCCAGTTCAAGCATGATGAACTCAGTGCATTCAAGGACAGGGAGATCACCATCGAGCGCGTCAAGGATGAACTCATGGATGAGAACATGGCTTTGATCGAGTCCACTAATCAGCTGAGAACACAAGTTGCTGAACTTCTTGGATCTCGATTCCATGCTGGTGGCGATGAAGACAATGCCAAGGTGAATGAAGAACTACGTGAAGAACTTCACAAGGCCAACATGGAGATCAGTCGACTTCAAGAGGCAGTTGAAAGCAACCCGAAAGTCACTGAGGCACTCATCGATGCCGAAGAAGCAGAGGCTGACAGGTACAAGAAGCTCTATCAATCGGCATGCTCTGAACGTGACCATGTGATTAGGAAGAATGACTCATTGAAACAGT